GAAACCAGGGCATTGGCCTGTGAGTGTGTCTGCTCCATCCATGGGGTCTTGTCCTGGGATACCATCGGGTGGTCTTTGGCCGAGGAGGGCTCCAAGAGCGCCACTGCAGAGGAGGGAAACTCCCGGGGGAGATCCAGGAGTAGAGGGCCGTTGGCCTGGCCCACATTGGGGGGCTCAGCCAGGAAGCAGGACTGGAGGGCTTCGTGGTGGGCGGCGGAGTCCGGCGTGCTGGTGTTGAAACCCGTGCAAAAACAGGCAGGCGAACCGGCGTGGAGAGGTCCTCCTCCTTGGTCTGCTGTTGGATCCAGTCACGGAAGTACTGGAGGGAGATGAAGACGCTCGGCTGCCGGGTCGCACCACAAGCCAGGGGACCCCAGCTGAGGACCCCGAGGACCCAGTAGCGCTCTGACCTTTCTTCTCGACACTGGATGGGGCCACCACTGTCTCCCTGCGAGAGGAGAGGCAGAGAGAGAGAAACAAAGAAAGCGAGGCCGTGAGAGACCCAGAGTGACCCTTGTCTGCCAAGGGCTGTGGGAGGGGTGCTCCTTGGCAGGCAGAGGGCACAAAACGAAGCATCCACACCAGAGTCAAAGAACATGAGAGACACTGCAGACTAAAACAACCAGAAAAATCTGCAGTAGCTGCACATGCCCTAAAACAAGCTGGACATGAAATTCTATTTCAAAATACTGAAATACTGGACAACACCAGCAATCATTACGTTGGACTGCACAGGGAACCCATTGAAATCCACAAACGCCAGCAGAGCTTCAACAAAAAAGAAAGTTTGAAACTCAACAAAGCTTGGTTCCCAGCACCGAAAAATACAGCGTGCAAAAGGTCAACAAACTCTACCCAGCCACAAGGACCGGTGATCACTACACACAATAGACCAGCTAACGACACCCATCAATCACAGTGACAGATAATCACCCCTCATTAACAACAATACACCCACAACAAAAAAACACTGATCACCCTAAGCACCCATTTCCTGAAAAGGACAAAAGCTGATCTCACAGCCATAAAGACTCAACCCCCCAAAAAACAGCAACAGAGCACAGAGTGCTACTCCTGTCCTCTGTAGATGCCGGCCACAGAGACTGGCTAAACGTCAGGAAGAACAACTTTCAGAACACGGCCAAAGAGTCCGAAAAACCCACAACAACCATGTACAGGATCCCCTGTGGATACGGGGGTCCTCCTGTACAATAGTCTTTAAGGTACCACAGTGTTTTTGTCTCATTGATTTTTTATTTTCTTTGGGTTTCGCCTGATACGCTAGCACAGACTAACACAGCGACCTCTTCTAAAACTGCTGACTTTGGCCAGCCGCCCTACCTGGCAGGTCCCTGTGCCTCCTCGCTCCAGCCCGGCGCACAGGTTCATGGCAGGAAGGGGCCTGTTCCACAGTTTTGAACAGTTCTGTCGGGGGAAGAAGTCCACTTTCCCTTCCTGCAGGATGTCCGGGTAATGATCATCTGCGGGAAGGAAACCAGACACGTGGGTGGGATTCGTCTCTCTCTACGACACCCAGAGATTCAGCAAGGGGGCCCTTGAAGACAGCTGCTCTGGACACCCACACGGAGGGCATGTGGTCTACTCAGCCGTGGGAACCGGTCCAAAGGGACACGTCCACGGCAGCCTCCTGGCTTTGCCTCTCCAGAGGCGAGCCCTGGCCTTAGAAAGAGGTTCTGCCTGGAGTGAAGCGCCAGGGCTCCTTGTTTCCCAAAAGAGGGTGGGGTGGACAGGGCAGGGGGGGGGAATCCTTGTAACTGAGCTCCAAACCAGTGCCACCAACGCTCATCACGTGGGCCCTTGCAACTGGTCTGTTCCCAAAGGTTCAGGTGGCACAAGATTCAATGAGGAAGGAAGCCAGCGCTGCCTTGCTGCATCTCTACAGGAGCAGCATTTTGTTTGGGATGATGGTCCCTACACAGACGCGCACAAACGGCTGGTTTGGCCGTTCATGCCGGTTTGCTTAGTGGTTGAACTGAATGTTCAGTGCTTCCCAGCGCATTCACAAACGGGTCTGTCTGTCTGTCTGTGGTGATAATTGTGCTTTGCAGCCACCGAAGGCACAGGATTATGAGTTTCCTGTAACCTCTCAGGGCAGGCCTGCTTTTTTTGACATATCACTCACTTTGGGGGTTGGTGTTCCCCCAGCCGCTGATGTAGCAATCGGTGAGGGCGGAAAGGGCCACGCGGCTGTCGGGCAAACAGGCTGGCTGGACGTAGTCGGTGCAGGCGACGGGCTCGGACAGCTCCACCAAGGCAATGTCATTGAGGATCGTTCCCCTGGTCTTCAGCGTATTGTGGATGTGTCTGTGCTTCACCAGTCTCTTGACAAAGCGATGCTGGGCATCCGGGCCAGGCCGGATGACGCGGTTGCACCCGAGCACGAGCTTGTAACGTTCCCTATATATGGGAACAAAGAACAGAAGCATGTCATGTACGCGGTTGCTGTGGCTCAGCAGGAAAAAGATGGCTGGGGGTTGAGGAAATGCAAGAATCCTGTGTATCAGTAACCCCAGAGGTTGGGACATAGACCAAATGATAGCTGGGTGGCCACAGGAACACTCTCTGTTCTTGCCCACTGACTGCTCCCTTAGGCCACTTCCCCCTTCTTCATAGCAAGGCAGCGCTTTGTTCTGTTTTTATCTACAATGGATAGCTAGTCGTGAAGATCTCTCTGGGAGGCCATGATCACACTTGCCAGCTCTAAGATCTTCTTTACTCAAAGGTTAGACTATATCCCACTCTACCCTGAATGAATTTCTTGGAACAATCAATGTAAGCGTTTCATAGAATCATAGAGACGTGAAATTGGAAGGAGCCTACAAGGCCATTAAGTCCAACCCC